ATCAGTGGACCAAATCTCTCATGTTTAGCCTGGGGGGGGGGGGGGCTTATTTTCGGGGGGATGCCTTATATTTCACTCAGAAGGAAACCTGTAAGTAGGTCTTCTTTTCGGAGGATGTCTTATTTTTGGAGAAACACAGTAGTCATTCTGAAAATGACATCTGTGTAATTGACTCTTGGCAATTACTGCTCAGAAAATCTCATGGCTGCACTTGCCTGGGCATTGTGCTGCTGGGTCTGCCAAGAACTGGTTCTAAGACTTTCAGCAACCAGTTTTCACCCCTTGAAGTTTCACTGGGCCCCTGGAGGGTCTAAAATTCTTTAGAATTCTGGTCATCCAGACATCTTGCTCCTAAACTCATCTTTGGTTCCTAATTCTTCTTCATTCTATTTTGCTTAATTAGTCCTGTTGTTCCTCCCTCTCAGGAGATTGTCCTTGAATCTGCCTGTTCGGTCTGTTCTGCTATGTCTGCTGTTACTTCGTGCCTGCACCACTACAACAGATTTCTTTCTTTTTTTAAAATATATTCTTATTGATTTCAGAAAGAAAGGGAGAGGGAGAGAGAGAGAGAAACATCAATGATGGGAATCATGGATCTGCTGCCTCCTACACACCCCCCACAGGGGATTGAACCCAGAACCTGAGCATGTGCCCTTGACTGAGATCGAACCCAGTACCCTCTTCTCCGCAGGCTGATTCTCTGTCCACTGAGCCATACTGGCCAGGGCATACAACAGTTTTCTAAATGATCTTGCCACCATTCTCTCCCATCCCTCCTCCATCCTGGGAAATTGGTAACTAGCAAAATATCAGTTTCTTTACCCCACTTCCTCAAATTAAAAACTCTGGAGATAAATGATAAAGCTTAGACACCTTTTGGAAGTTGAGGCTTTCTATAATCTCAACTTACCTTGTCATTCCTTTCCTTATTGCATCATCACCTCACCTTATCTCCCTCCCTCCCCCTCTTGTCTCTGCCTGAACCAACATCAGCCAGACCTGTCTCCTCACTGACATGCCATTTGCTTCCGGATTTCACACTTTTCCCTCATTCTATTTCTCAGGCCTGCAACATTCTTCTCCTGTCAATCAAATCCTACCATTTTGCAAAGATCCAGATGAAGTTCTACCTTTTGCCAGAAGCCTTCCCCACCAATCTAGCTTTCGTTAATTTTCTGTCTTTGGATTTCCTCAAAGTATTTATGACCTCTAGTATACATTTTGACACAGGATTCCATACTATAATGCATTGCTGTTTGACCACTTCCCGATGTGTGTCTTGACTTTTTTAAACAGTGCCATTTTGGGGTTTATTTTGTATTCTCTACAGAACCTGGTAGAACTACTATATGGTAGATGTCTAATCAAAACTTTTGCACCGAGTTATATGTTTTTCTCCTCATGCCTTGCTTGGCAGCCTGGTCTTGCCTTTTCCTTTCCGTCCAGAGGCCCGTTTCACCCTCATCCTACCACCACAGCCCTCTCTCCCCAATAGAGAGCTGCAGGTCCCAGCATTGTGTTCTCTTTGCAGCACTTGTAACAGAGCAGCCATGGTTCCACTTCTGCTCAAATCCCTGTCCTCACGGGGCTGGGTAAATAGCCCACGTCCGTCCTACCGGCATGGGCTGCAGAACAGGAGGCTGGAGTTGCTATAACTAGAGAGTTTGGGGGGAAAGGGAGTTCACCAGAAGCAATGCAGTGAAGTAGTTTTGTGTCTGAATGTGGACATAGGCTCTGGGACAGTTTTTGGAGGTGTGTTCAGAAATCAGGCGTGTGTGACTAAGAGTTAAGGCAGGGCCAACTTAATAAGCTAAATTATAAAACCAACAAAACCCCAGGTTTGCTTTGGGAGCGAGCTCAAAGTTAATATCTATTCTCTTCTTTTTCATACAAGGACACTAAAGTCCAAAGAGGAGACTGCAAATAGTAGATACACAATACTTGCTGACGGCAAATGATCCTGCCAAGCCAGTCCTTGGATGGATTCATCCTATAATATTTAATGTCAGAAGTAGACCAACGACTGACATGGACCAAGATGTTGAGAAGCTTTGCAATAGAGAACTACACAAAGTAAAAGGTAAAGGCCCCATTCCTATCTATTTGTACCCCCGAGTCTTTCACCAAAATTATCTAAGTACCTTCCCCAGAGGTAATAGCATGATGTCTCTCCTTCCAGATACATACATTTCTCTATATAATATATACAAATTGTTAATTTCACATAAAAGGGAACACACTATATATATCCAACGCAGTGTGGGATGGTACTTTTCTATATAATCCAATAAAGACAAATTGTCACTAAATAAAAATTTTAAATATACTGCAAATGCAGGCCTGAAATGCTTATTATTAGATCCAACAGCCATAAAGTTACTGTGTCATAATAATTTCTAGATATTTACTCTCACTGAGGACTCATAACAAAGTTGGATGCCTGTCTGTGGACCACCCTTTGAGTGGTATTACTCTTTGAATTAAAAAAAAAAAAAAAAAAAAAAAAAAAAAATATATATATATATATATATATATATATATATATAATTGATTTCAGAGAGGAAAAGGGAGGGAGAGACAGAAAAATCAAAGATGAGACAGAATTATTGATCAGCTGCCTCCTGCATGCCTCACACTGGGGACTGAGCCGAAACCCAGGCATATGACTTGACAAGAAATCAAACTTTGACCTCACTGGTCAGGCATCTCTTTGATTTTTTTTTTAAATAATGAGTGTGTGTGTGTGTGTAACTATAATTGCAATTAATTTTTTTTTAATTTTCCCAATTCAGTCTGATAATAGAAATAGGTTCAAGGTACAGAAATAGTTCTTCAGATGGGTTAATTTAGTAAATAGTCAAACAATGTGGCAAAAAAAAAAGGAGGTAGTATGTGATCTGGGTTTTAAAGACTGCATGGGCATTTGCCAGATGAATAAATGTGGAAGAGCATTTTAGTCAGAGGGGAAACAGGAGCTAGGGTGGGAGGTATGAGGTTGCTAGGGGTGATGAGAAATATAAGGGACATCTGTTGTTTTACCCCAGTATTCAATCGCCCTTCAGTTTTCCCTCAGGGACCCATAACTTCTCCTTAGTGTAGGTGGTTTGGGTGGGGCTGACCTTTTCCCCAGCTCATGAGCTAATCAGCATTGCCCAGCCCCTTCACTTCCTCTCAGCTCTCAGCGATTAGTTCGGAATGGCAAACAAGTCCAGGACTTTTGCTGGAACCTTGGCCAGGGCTGGGAGATAAATACTTATTCCTGCTGGGATTGCTGAGAGGAGGATGTAAGCTCAGAGTTACAGACTGCGTGGAGAAGAGGGCCAGTTTGAGACTGAATCCAGCAGAGAAGAAAAGCAGAACAGAGATAGAAACCCAACCCAGTGACGTCATTTATGGCCCTGCATGTAGCCATACCCCATAGTCTATCCCTGGGATTTTCAGTTTCCTAAACAAATAACTTCCTTCTTATTCATTCACTCTTAAACTCACCTTCACTAAAAGACTTACACAAGGAATATTATGGAGTGATAGAATATTGTGTGTGTGTGTGTGTGCATGTTCGTGTGCATGTCCGTGTGCATGTGCGTGTGTGTGTGTGTGTGTGTGTGTGTGTGTGTGGCTGCAGAAGCAGGCAGGGCTAGGATATGAAGGGCTGAGAAACAGGCCCTCATTTCTGGGGGACTCCTAGGAGCTCTGGAGGGTGTAAAGTAGTGATTACTCCAACAAGAAGCTCTAATATTAAGAACATTAACTTCCTCAAGCTTTTCTAGTGGTTTCATTTTTGTTCTGGTTTCTCTCTGATTGGGGCTAGGCCCATGATGGGCAAACTGCAGCTCTTGAGCCACATGCAGCCTGGGCAAATCTATTTTGAAGAAGTGGGGTTAGAAGAAGTTTAAGTTTAAAAAAAAAAAATTGGCTCTCAAAAGAGATTTCAATCATTATACTGTTGATATTTGGCTCTGTTGACTAATGAGTTTGCCGACCACTGGGCTAGGAAATTAAAGGTAGAAAGGACCAAGCAGGCCCCTGAAAATTATGTTTTAGAAAATTTTCCTTTTAATGATTGAAAGTTAATTTTGAATAATGAACTAGCTCACCCTGTTTAGTCCTCTTTTCTATTTACAATAAAAATTCAGTGCAAGCAGATTTTCAGGGCAGAAACTTTTAGGAATAATAAAAACCAGCTTTTCTGAAGCTTCCTACACAATTAGTTTTCTCTGCAGGAACAAGAAGTAACTCTGGGAACCTGAGGATCACAGTTAGCCAGTGTGAACGTTTAAAACAAAAACTGAGCCTCACCCTAGTTGGTTGGGCTCAGTGGAGAGAGCCGTGGCCTGCAGACTGAAGGGTCCTGGTTTTGATTCTCCTCAAGTGCACATGCCCAGGTTGTGGGCTCCATCCCCAGTAGGGGGCGTGCAAGAGGGAGCCTATCAATGATTCTTATCATTGATGTTTCTATCTATCCCTTCCTCTCTAAAATAAACATATTTTTTTAAAAAGAGAATTCTCAATGAAAAAAAAAAAAAAATAGAGGAGCCTCACTCATATCAAGTCCTCTGCAAAGAGTTATCAGGTCTCTTTACCCTAGAACAATTCCCTAGAAATTTTGTCTTTTATGCTGCTTTTCATGATTTCTGGCCTACTCTTTTGCAGCATGTCCCTCAATTTGGATTTGTCCAATTGTGTCTTTATGATTAGATTCAAGTTAGGCATTTCCCCAGGAATGATGTTGTATCCTTCTTCAAGCTTCACATCAAGGGGCACACAATGTCCAATTTTTTGGTTAATTTTGGTCATTTGGCTACTGTGGGGCCCACTAGATTTATCCATTAAAAAGGTCCCTTTATACCTTCGTAATTAATAAACAGTCTATAAATAGCATTCCTAATAACAGATCTTACCCACATTATTTCAAAGAAGAAAAACTGTCCATAATGAAAATCGGTAGAGATAGAATTATTCCCACAAACCTCTAGTGTGAACCCAGTAAACAATTACGCTTGGTGTTAAGACCAAACTTCTAGGAGCCTAAAGAAATGTCTTTCTGTGATCTGTTGGCCATTTTAGAACTTAGGAAATGTAATGGTCAACTAATTAGAAAGAAACATCTGAGGATAAGGAAAAAAAAGACTAAAGTGACCAGAGAATAACCAAATGCTAAACAGAGTCCATGAAATGCTAAAAGAAAAGGGAAAATACCACAGAATTCAGGAGAGTCGCAAAAACCACATTAAATGTGAGGAAAGGAAAGTTTGGAGATACAAAGTGACTTGAAGAAGATTTTAGAACTATTTTTCTTTCCTTTTTTAAAATTTGTTTCAGAGAGAGGAAGGGAGAGGGGGAGAGATTGAATTATTAATTATGAGAATCATTGATTGACTACCTTCCATATGCCCCTCTACTGGGGGGTCAAGCCTGACCCTGGGCATGTACCCTTGACTGGAATGGAACTCCGGACCCTTCAGTGCACAGGCCACAGCTCTATCCACTGAGCCATACCACCAGGGCTAGAACTAGTTTTCTGATGCCGAGTCAGTATTCCTCCCATGACCGTGCCCAAGGCTCTATTGCCATACCGGTTCCCAGGTCAGGTGCAGCGTTAGGACGGTGTAACATCTGTTATCAATGGAAACAATCCGTGATGCATATCTTACTATGTAACTGAAAGCACACACTTTCTCCTGCCCCACCAGAAGGTGCTTTAGAGGAAATGTTATTTGGATGGACTAAAATCATGTACATTGGGACATTAAACTGAGACCCAGTCTACTTTTTTTTTTTTTTTTTTTTAATATATATACATTTTATTGATTTTTTTACAGAGAAGAAGGGAGAGGGATAGAGTTAGAAACATCGATCAGCTGCCTCCTGCACACCTCCAACTGGGGATGTGCCCTTAACCAAGGTACATGCCCTTGACTGGAATTGAACCTAGGACCCTCGAGTCCACAGGCTGAGCTCTATCCGCTGAGCCAAACCTGTTAGGGCCAGTCTACTTTTACCTCAAGGAAAAGGTGTGTCCTCCCAGCGACCATGACACCTACACACCACACACCCAGATATTGCTCATCTGCCACACCTTAGCCCTATCACGGTGCAATATGTTTCTATTCACAAACATGGAAACATTTCAGAGGCATTGAACTCCTGCCTCCCTAGAGCAGCTATCTGCAGCTGATGCATCATTCCTCTCTGGTGCACAGTGTTTGCCTATGTATCACCGAGCCCCACAGACAACCCAGTTACTCCTTCCAGTGAGAAGCAGGGATCCGCGTGAGAGGTCGACTGAATTACTGTTCTGTCTTTAGATTTAAGAATACCTAGTGTAGCAGAAACCGGTTTGGCTCAGTGGATGGAGCATTGGCCTGTGGACTGAAGGGTCCCAGGTTCGATTCTGGTCAAGAGCATGTACCTTGGTTCCGGCACATCCCCAGAAGGAGGTGTGCAGGAGGCAGCTGATGGATGCTTCTTTCATGGATGTTTCTGACTCTCTATCCCTCTCCCTTCTTCTGTAAAAAATCAATAATATATATATATTTAAAAAGAATACCTAATGCACCGCTAGTTTTCAGAATAGAAAGCAAGGATCTTCTCACACACATTCACTCACTAGTTTACATTCATTCATCGAGTCCCAGCGGGACGATCACAACTACCAATTTAAAAAGTTGGATCTGGAGGCGAGCCGTTTGAGGCGTTGTTTTGGGGGTGAATCACGCGGTTTCTTTTGCTCTATGGACACTGAAATCCCAGCCTGGTTTCTCCCTGGGGGATGAGCAAATTCCGGGAGAAGTAAAGTGGCTGCAGGGGAAAACGAAAGCTGGAGACGCTCCAGGCTTCAAATGCTGCTTTTAAACGCGAAGGCCACCGTGCCATGGCCTTTCGCTCGCCCCGCTCCTTCTCACTGTCACCCCACGAACACCCCGCCTGCCAGGTGTGGTTTCATGACATGGTATTAGGACGTTTGCAACACTGACAGAAGGACCCTGGTGGGACATCTGTCACCACAGGCCCAGCGGGAGACTCAGAGGCAGGCTTCCCGGGAGGGCCCCGCGTGGGGACGAGGACCGTGTGTGTGTGTGTGTGTGTGTGTGTGTGTGTGTGTGTGTGTGTGTGTTCAATTGGGGGTCCTTTTCCCCTTTCCACCCCCCCACTCCCCCCTACACAAGCCTCACGGGGGCAACTGCGCTCGGCCCTGCGGTGGAGCTGGTGCCCGGTCTGGCCGGGCTGCCAGAGGGCGAAAGGATTTCGCAATCGACCAGAGGGCGGAGGGCGAACCCCCGTCATTTCTAGGAAGCCGCAAGGGCTGCCGGGAAAGCCGCTCACAAGCCGGAAGAGCGGCCAGGCCGGCCACCTGCGCACGCGCGGTGAGCTCTTCCGGTGCAGGGGGAGGGTGCCCCGTGTGGAGCGGCTCCCTCCGCCGGCGGCCGGATCTAATTTGTCGGCTCGCTCGGCCCGCTGTGACGTAGCTCAGTCCACGCCCTTTGCCCCGCGGCGCCGGCCTCTTGTGACGTCACAACAGGGTCCTCCCACCGAGCCCGGCTCTGCCGCTCGCCGGGCGGGCCGGATAGGGCGGTGTCTCGCTCCTTTCCGGTCTTTTGTAATTTCCCCGCAGTTCAAAAGGAGGCTTTGAACTATGCCCGTTTCCTAATAAGGGCGAAAAGGAGGGCAGCCTTCGCCCTAGCTCCTGTCCTCCCAAGCTGGGGGTTCTGTTAAAGGGACATCGCAGCCCGGCCGGTGTGGCGCAGTGGTTGAGCATTGACCAGGAGGCCAGGGTTGGATTCCCAATTGGGGAATTCCATCATTTCAAAATATTTGGAACCTTGGCATTATGCTAAGTGAAATTAAGTCAGGAAAAGGCAAATACTCTTATGATCTGACATTTGTGGAATCTAAAAAAAAACTAAACTCATAGGAATAGACAGTAGCATAGTGATTACCAAGGGCTAGGTGGGCAGGATGTTGGTCAAATGGTGCAAACTTAGTTATAAGATGAGTAAGTTCTGGGGATCTAATGTACATGGTGGTGATTTTATAGGCAGCAATATAACCACTATAGTAACAGCTACCACCTCCCGCCTGCCACCTGATTACCATTTCTTTTTTGTGGTGAGAATATTTAAGATGTATTCTCCGCAATAGTCAATATACAGTATTGCTAACTATAATCACTACACTGTACATTAGACATCACCCCCCCTCCAAGATCATGTTAAACACGTAACTGGAAGTTTGTATCCTTTGACCAATACCTTCCGTTTCCTTCACTCCCCAGCCCCTGGTAACCTCCACTCTACTGTCTGTTTCTCTGAGTTTGGGGTTTTCAGATTCCACAAGTGAGATCATAGACTATTATTGTCTTTTCCTGTATGACTCATTTCACTTAGCATAATGTCCTAAGGTTCAGCCAGGTTGTTATAACCCACAGAATTTCCCCAGCCTTTTGTGTGTGTGTGTGTGTGTGTGTGTGTGTGTATGTGGCTATGGATATATATATCTCATCTTCTTTATCAGTTGATGGACACTTAGGTTGTTTTCATGTCTTTCTTGGCTATGGTGAGGAATGCTGCAAAGAACATGACAGTGAGATCCCAATTTGAATTTCTTTGCTTAGATACCCCAGATTGGGATTGCTGGGTCAAATGGTGGTTCTATTTTTAATTTTTTGAGGAACCTCCACACTGTTTTCCATAATAACTGTGTCAGTTTGCATCCCCACCAATAGTGGGTATGCTTTTGTTTTTATTCAGACCCTCACACACACTTACTTTCTTGTATTTTTATGATGTACATCCCATTAGGTATGAGGTGATCTTTCTTGTGGGTTTGATTTACATTTCCCTGCTGATTCATGATGTGAAGCACCTTTTCATGTGTCCGTCGGCTATTTCTATGTCCTGTCTGGGAAAATACCTATTCAGTTCCCTGCTCCTTTTTTTAAACTTTCTTCCCCCCTCCCTCACTAAGTTGTAGGAATTCTTTATAGATTTTGGAGGGTAAGCCCTTATCAGATATGTGATTTGCAAATATTTCCCGCCATTCCAAATATTGCCTTTTAATTTTGTTGATTTTTTTTTTCTGTGCAGAAGCTTTTTAAGTTTGATGCAGTTCCATATATGGATTTTTGCTTTTGTTGCCCATGTTTTTGGTGTTGTATCCAGAAAGTTGCTGCCAAGACCAATGTCAAGGATTTTTTGTCCCATGTTTTGTTGTTTTGTTTTCCCCTAGGAATCCTGTAGTTTCAGGTGTTATGTTTAAGTTTTTAATCCATTTCCAGGTCATTTTTTTGTGAGTGGTGAAAGGTTTAATTTTTTTGCATGTGGTTATCCAGTTTTCCCAGTAAGAGAAATTTTAAATGTTCTCAATATAACAACAACAATAAAATGGTAATAATGTGAGGGAAGTATTAAGTACCTTTATTGTGGTAAACATTTCACAATATATGCATGTCAAATCATCACATTGGGCACTTTAAAGTTACATCATGTAATATATCAATTATATCTCAATAAAAAGCTGGGTAAGGGGAAGGAAAAATGTTCATTTTAATGATATTTTATAGTTGAATAGTAAAAACAGAAAAAATGACACATTCTATGATCTTCAGTCCAAACACTTATGTTGGGATAAATTATTCCCCTGTTTGTGTAATGTTATAAGTCTACCCTGAGGTCTACAATTCACAGAAGTAATTATTTTATATTATTCTTTTTTTTCCTCCAAGAAAATTCTACCTTCGGGGTAGTGATTTTTTAACTTTTATATTTTACTAGAGGCCTAGTGCACAAATTCTGCACAGGAGGGGTCTGGCCAGGTTTATAAGGCTTTCACCACCTTGACCCCATTCCATCCACATCTGGGCCAAATACTGAGCCTTTCCTCCCATTCCTGTGCATGGACTGTCCACATTCCCAGATAAGGGAGGTCATTTTGCTGTGCCCAAACTCAATTACCAATAGTTAAAAAGAAACACTAGACCCAAAATGGAGTCACTTTTGCTAATCTCCACCAGAAGTGGAATTTTAAACCAATCAGTCTAGAATTTCCTGCTCAATACTAGTGAGGTAATCTGCCTTATAAACCCCCTTGTTTCCCCTAAGGAAAATGGCA